TTTCACTTTCCCACAAGCCACGGTACTGCAGAAAATAGTCGTTCAAAGGATCTTCTCTCATTATAGCGGGAGGAAGGCAAACTCATTTGCAACTTCGGCTGTTCTGACCGTGAAACAAAATCGCGGGAAAATGTTAGAAAAAGCTTATAAGTACGCTAAATGTTCTTTTTAGAGGCGATATTTTCGACTCTATCGTGATCAGAGCACGTAAGCTCTGGGAAATATAAATAACCCCGCCTGCTCGTGGGGTCAATGTTCGCGGATATGTTTGTATAGAATATATCAAAAGTATTGGCCAATTTTTTCGTTTAAAGTAGAAGGCAGGTCGAGCACCGTAACAGTCTGTTTATTGTCCTGAGCTTTCAAACTCGTACAGGAGTTCATCGTCGGAGCTACCAGTAGCAACACAATGGAGACAGTTACAGGAGATATGAACCAATCGACTTTCAGCGACGTACATCTGTAGGTGATTGTGTAGCGCTCTAAACGCCGGCGCCAACTCGATAAATTGTCCACGGTGTAAAGTGCTTAAGTGAAGGACATATTCTGCAATCTTGACCTGTTATGTCTACCGAGGGCACTGTACAAGGACTAAATTGAGAGTACACCGCTCACTCAACCCCGTCTGGAATCGTAAATATCGCAAAACTACGGAAATACTACTATGCGAATACAAGTAATGGCCCATCCGTTCAAAAAACATCCGTCAGACCGAATTCTTCCATCTATAGTGCTTGGAAGAGAGGGAGGGAGGGAGATATCCAACATTTTCACCCAAACGTCCTTCGATCACAATGTATAAAATTGGGTACGCAAACCCTACATAGCACCGGAAGCTCAAATGGCCGAAGACTGCAACTGTCGACGCCGTGAACAGAGGGAGGGAGGGAGACATCCAACATTTTCACCCAAACGTCCTCCGATCACAATGTATAAAATTGGGTACGCAAACCCCACATAGCACCGGAAGCTCAAATGGCCGAAGGCTGCAACTGTCGACGCCGTGAACAGCCGTCGGTGAATGGGTCGAAACATTTACTGGCGATGTGCCTTCCTTCAAAACGATGCTAGTATAGCGTGCAGGTTCG